AATATAATTGGTCACTAAGAGTTGAATTTCCTGCATGATTTGGTTCTGCCTATTACTCTCCATCCTGTCACAAAACTCAGAACAAAGCAAAAAAAAAAAAGTTCCAAAGTCGCCCCCTCTCCCCACTCCCTATTCCTCACCACCAAAAAAAAGTTCCAAAGCTTTCCCATTTCGTAGAGGCTAGGATTGGGAGCATTAATTTAAGGATTCTAGCCTCAGCTTCCTCTTAGCTTCTGTCACACCCATCCTGATCTGTGTATTTTCCTTCTTTAGAGCTTCTGCCTCACACCCTTCCAGGCTCTTCCTCTGCCTAGCTTCTGCCTGTTGTCAGTGTCCCAGTTTAAACTGTGCTTACTTAGAGGTTTCCCTTATCATCTTTGTGTTACTCCCTCTGTCAGTAACACCATGGACCAATTTCATGTCCCTCTTCTTATTTGTGGCAACTTTGCCAGCTGCTGTCCTCTCTCTCAGACGGTGAACTCATTGAGTGAGGGATTACTCTTGTTCCCAGCACCTTTCACAACTCCTATAGGCACCTGATAAAGTTGGCTGAATTAAAAAAAAAAAAAGAGCCAGCATTTCCAAGAGCATATTTCCAAGGTTTGTCACTGAAGAATTTAGTAATTTTTCTTCAGAACTAATATAACAAAACAAATAGAAAATGTCCACAACACCAGCAAGACCCTCATGCTTGCCAATCTAAGAAAATCAATTTGCTTTAGGGTAAGTATATGCATTTGTTAATGCTGGCTCTTATCTGGCCATGATTATAAAGTCCTATATCATTGAAACTTGACAGTGTTATATTTTAACATCTTTTTATGGATCCACAAGCAGATTGCAAGGCTTAGTTCAGGAAGTGGAGTGTCATGTGCTGTTGTGTTTAGGTTGCTGTGGCTTCTGGATTTGTCTCAGTACCTGGCCTACATTCCTCAGTGTTAAATATCTGGTAGGTGACCTCAGGATGACAGGTTGTGGTTAGGTATCTGGTATTTACTATTGGATACTTTAGATGTAGCCCTAATAATGTTTTTATTCTATTAGTATGATTCTTTGTAAAAGCATTCCCCCACCTCTGAGGATCTGTACTTCATTTATCTTAGTAAACTTAGGTTAAGAAGAACAGAATCTTAGGTTTGGATTTGCTCAGCAGACTTAATGGACTTTATAGTAAGGCAGAGTACTTATGCATGTCTGCAATCCCAGCACTCAGCAGACAGAAGGAGGATTGTGAATTCCAGGCCAGGTGGGCTACATAGTGAATTCTAGGTTAGCTTGGTGTTATGTAACAAGACCCTATCTCAAAAAATTGTACTAAGTTCTAAATTCCAACAACAAATAAGAGCATCTAGTAACGGATAGGATGAGTTAAGATGTTTCCTGCTTAACCCTTCCTGCCCATTCCTGTGGTCCATTTCCCTTACTCTAGTGCCTAGGTAATTAATTCCTTTGTTTCTTCTAGGCATGAATTGTTATTGGAATAAAGATGGGCAATGCTACATACTACTCTTTTTGCCTCCCAAGATCTAGTCATCATTGAATACATAATGCCTACTTACTGCTTCCCCCAAAATGATTCTAGGCATTTGGGATATAAGAGAATATCTTCTGGCCTCAGTGGTGCTTATAGTCTGGAGTAGAAACTTCCCATGTGTGTTTCAGACAAACATAACTGCATGATTATTTCCATACTGCTTAAGGATGTACATGTTAGTGTGCACATGCACAAACAAATGGACATCCCAGAGTTCCATCTCCAGGAGATAACTGTTGGTGACAGCTTGTTGTGTGTCCTAATTTAGCTTTGACCTCTTCTGCCTTACCACACACATAGCACTTTGGGGCATTTTACTGTGGCAAGCCCAAGGTTCAGAAAGTAAAAGATGAGAAATGATGTAAAAGTTTTAAGAAAGAATGTAAGTTGTAAACAGAAACAGGGAAATTCTCAGAAAGAGACAATTGTGCCCCTCCAAGGACACAGGATGCATTACTAGCAGTTAAGAGAATATACTTGGGGCTGGAGAGATGGCTCAGTGGCAGAAGCCATGCAGTAGCTTCTGGGAACGTGCATAAATGCTTGCAGATGGAGCTCCTTATGGCAAGGCCCTTTGGAGAATTCCACCCACCTGGCAAGGACCATGGAGTCGATGCTTCAGACCTCTGTGCTAACCCTAGGGAGGTCATGAGCTTCAGGCCTTTCTAACTTTCACTGTCTTTGCTTCCGTGGTAATTCTTAGTTTTGCTTTGTTAGTTGTGATTGTGGCTGAGTTTACTGGGAACAAAAGCTGACAATTTTAATAAAGTTTCTACAAGGAAATTAAGCTTCTTTCCAGTCTATCACAGAAACCAGTTCCTTTGGTTGCCCTTGGCTGCCTTTACATTCATCCTTAGTAAGCAGGAGGAACTCACTAAGGTTAATGCTTACTTAATTGTTCCAATAAGAGACAACTATATTCCAAGAACTTAAGAACTTGGAGATGGTTTCCTAATAGATGACATTAGGAAAAACTTATAGGAACATATAAGAAAAAGATAAAGAACATGAAAGGTCTGACATCTGTCTGGTGCTAGGGTGTGAATGGTTAGATATTTTTCAATGCCAAAATATCAATAAAGGAATCTAAAACTCCCAGTTCCCTTGGAAGTAAAAGTACAAGTAGAAACTGCTAGGAAGAATGAAAACTTTATTAATCATTACTATTCTGAGAATTTATGAAGAAGAGGATTACAACTACTGCTCCCATAAAAGTGATATTCAGACTGTTTAGAAATTGATTTACACCTAAAAAATATATTCCAAGTATGGCATCATACTGTCAGCTGACTACAGAAATATAAAAGTATCATATTGTTTCCTGGGCACAATATGAATATGATATGCCTGGTTAGATATAATCATTTGCCTTGTAATATAAAGTTAATGCTTAGATAGTAAGTCAATTATTGACAACAAGGAAATGGGGAAGAGGAAAAGAAACTAAAATGTGTAAATGTTAATAATTCTTGAAGAATGATTAAAGAGAAATGAATTGAAACTGCTCATGCATGAACATACTATAACTTGTATAAATAAAGATGGTTTGAGCTATTCAGGGCCATCTATTTGAAAGACAGCCAGTGGTCAGACTTCACACTTCCATCCTGTGGCTCAGAATCCCACTGGAGCTGGACTCTGGCATCTCGGCAGCTAACAAGCACTGGCTGTTCTTGCAGAGGACCTGGGTTTGATTTTCAGCACCCACATGATAGCTCACAACAGTCTGTAACTCCAGTTTCAGGGGATCAGACACCCTCTGCAGCACTAGGTGCATACATGGTACACAAGCAAATACCCATACACATAAAAATAAATAAATCCTATTAAATTAAAATAATAAAAGAACTTAACCTGGCCTTGTCTCATGGGTACTTGTATGGTGCTGTGTTTGAGTAGGTAATAGGCCAGCTGCTCACTATCTCTTTAGGCAGTGCATTTTAATTCTGTTTGTCCTTCTTGAGGGTAAGTCATCACAGACCCCCTGGGTCAGCCCCAAGTAGTTAGGGTTTGACTGTTAGAAAAGGGGTGGGATTCTATCTTTATTTTTTATTTTTTTCCTCCAGTTAAGTGTGTTCTTCTGTATTCATTATTGACTTACCTTTCCCCAACACTTCAGTTTTTTTTTGAATGACTTTATTTTAGTTTTTATCTTTTGGTTGTTCCGGGGGTTGAACCCAAGTCTTCTTGAATGTGAGTACTTTCCCACTGAACTATATCCCCAGCCCTGAATGATTTTAAAATCGTTTCTTTATGTGTATGCAACTTGTGTGGAGATGAAAATGAACAAATACAGATTTTTTTAAATCTGCTTGGCAGTTTTTATATATGACATATCTTTTGGGCTGGAGAGTTGGTCCAGTGGTAAAAAGCCCTTGTTGCTCTTGCAGAGGAGCTGGGTCTTATTCACAGAACCCATGTTGCGGAGCTCACAATCTCTTGTAACTCTAGTTCCAAGAATCTGCTACTCCTTTCTGTCCTCCATTGCACACATGTGGTTCACATCCAGACAGACACATATACATATACATAAATTAAAAAGAAACGAGAAAATTTCTTAAAATTACCAAAGACATGAATTTTTATGCTAGTGACTTGATAACACTTTTAAATTTTATTTCACTATCTGTGATGATACTTATATTCTCAGTATGTCTTCTGGTACTTTTTTTCTAGCTGTCTAAAGTTGGCAAAGTAATTGGAAGCTGACTGTCTTTAGTCAAAATGGAGTTGCAGTAAATTCCCACCTTAGCATGAAAGTTTACTTATGAATTTTTTAGGGAGCTTACACAGAGTTGTATGGAGAAGAGGAGGAGGCACCTTTAGGAGGGTACATTTCTGTAACTGCATTTCATTTTAAAGTTTCTGAGTATGTTTAGTTAGGGTCATAGGTCAAGAACAAAGTGTGGCAGAAAGGGACACCCCCATCTATATTGGTTGATATTGTAAAGGTAGTGGGGAAGGTTGATTCCCTGGATGCATGTGAACCTACATCAACAAATGCTCAACAGTCATAGGGACTTGCTGGTCGTTTTTGGTTTACATTATTGATTGCTGACAGCTGTGGTGGCTGGGATCGGCACTTCAGTCTTCAGGAGCTTCCTTGGGGTCTGTTTATGGTTGCCACATGTTACTGAGGAAACTGAGGTTCCCTTGTTAATAAAAGAATTTAGAACTGGACTCAAAAGGAAGCCCAGGGATAGTTTTATTAGAGTTTAGGAGAAACTAAAGGACAGGTTAGGTGACAGTCCTGGCAACTGCCAGAAGAGATAGAGCAAAGGTAATGTTTGGCCTAAAATGGAATCAGAGAGCTTCTTAAGAAAGGGGAAAGCACTCCTAAGAATGGAAATGGGTTATCGAGCTGAGGAAAGAGTCCCCGATGTCAAAATTTAGATAGTTATGTATAGTTTAAACATTCTTCATTTCAAACCATCAGCTATTGTTGTATTTCATACCTTGCTTTTAGGAAAAGAAGAAATATGAAGCCCCTCAGACTTCTGATGAAGTTTCCCTTCCAGAGACTTCTAGAGAGCAGGAAATCCCATCTCTAGCTTGTGAACTCAAAGGAGATGATCTGCAAGTGTCAACTGATTCCCAGCTCCACAAGGATGTCAGTGGATGGAACGAAAGTGAAATGTTTGATATACCACTCACCTCCTTGACTGTTGGTGATGAAGGGTCCCTGACAGGTGACACAGAGGACCTAAAAGGAAGGGGAGAGATCAGAGCCCCTGATGGAGATGATGAAATCAAGTTGAAGGTTGACCCTGGTGACAATGTTAGAACTAAAGTTGAACCTTCCAAGAACTTTACAGAGGTAGAGGAAAGCCTACTAATACCACATGGACCTTCAGAAAGCACACCGCAGGCAGATTTTCCCAGTACTCAGGGAATGGGAAGTTTACAAGTCAGAGAAACTGAGACTAGGAAAGAAGATGAAGAAGCTGGTGGTTGTTCAAAGGTGCTTCAGAATGCTAGCTTGCATAGTTCTTACAAAGCCAAAGAAGTTTCTCAGCCTCCTAGAGTGAAGAAATTGTATCCTGAGTTGCCAGCCGAAATTGCAGAAGTACCAGATTTGGTGGTGGTGAAGCCTTTGCTCTGTAGTGAGAGGCTCTACCCAGAACTCCCGTCTCAACCAGAACTAGTACCATTTACTAAAGAGCAGCTAAAACTCTTGGAGCCTGGCTCATGGCTGGAAAATGTTGAGTCGTATGTAGAAGAATTTGACAGCATTGCTCATCAGGATAGGCATGAGTTTTATGAGTTGCTTTTAAACTACTCACGATGCAGGAAACAGTTGCTGTTGGCTGAAGCTGAGCTGCTTACTCTGATGTCTGATTGCCAAAACGCCAAAAGCCGACTGTGGACCTTTAAGGACGAACAAATAGCTGTACAGGTATTTTGACTGTGTGTGTCAAGCTTCAGGGCTAGGGGAATTGGTAGTTGAGCTGCCTTTCCTGCCTTTCCAGGATTCAGTCTGTGTGTTAAACTTACACCGGCCCTGACTCCATCAATCCAGGAATCACAGGATCGAATGGCCACAAGGGCAGGCATTAATGTGTAGGCGAGGGACTGAGTAGGATAGTGTCAGTGGAGAAGTACCTGCCAAATCTAGAGGGGACAGCAGCTCTTGAAATCTAGCTGACTGCTGTATGATTGTGATATGTTAGATTGCTACATCTTAGGATCTTTTAAGAGAGGCAGGAATCTGGATTTTTGCATGAAGAATTCTAACTGGCAGCGCTAGCAACTAACTAAATACAAATATATGCAGACATATATTCTACATAGTCTAAACCAGTAAACCATGTCTCAAGATGCAATTTCGCCATAGACTATTGTTTTATATTTTGGTATAGTGCCACAGATGTGCAGTGAGTAGAGAGTGTCCTGATTGAGAGATAATAAGGAAATAAGTCCATTAGATGTGACCCCACCCCCCAGGCCAGAGCCACCATGTACTAAGGGCAGGTGGGATGGCTAATTAGAGAAGGCCATTTTTGACAAGTTTGACATTGAAGGGAAGCTGGAAGAGATATTGGTGACACGTGATTTGCTGGCCCCTGCCTTTCATTTGTGCAGAGCCTTGGATGTCTTTTTGTAGGTTCTGTGGAAAGAGACACACTTGGAAATACTGAAAAAGAAAGGGAGGCTGGAGAAAAAGCTTAGTGGAGAAGAAATAAGAGCGCTTGCATATAACCTAGTAACTCCAGTTCCAGGGGACTAGTGGCCCTCTTCTGACCTCCCTGGACAACCAGACATGCATTTGGTGCACATATATACTTGCAGATGAAACAGTCATATACATAAAATAAAATCTAAAACAGGAAAAATGAAAGGATGTGCTTAAGAGTATGGTGGGAGGAATTAATAATGGAGAAGGATTCCTTTTGTGCAGAGCCATAAAGAATGAGGTGAATCTAGAGGTATTTTTGGTTACTGTGAAGTTGAAGGATAACACATTGACCTTGGTATTCTTAGTACAGAAAGTAAGATACCAGTTGTGAGAGTTTTAGGGACAAATGTTACTGTTTCCCTGATGACTTCGTAGGATTACTCTTTACAGAACTTGTCATGTATTCCTGATTTGCAATGTTCTCTGACACATGACCATTATTTGCTAGTATTGTTTTGTATGTGTAGTGTTGGTCCCTCACTGTGATTATAAGCTTTTTGGAAATGGTGCCCAAGCCTGTATACCTGCTGCCTGGCTGCATCAAATGCAGCTGGTTTCTTATTTCATCCTTTATTTGCTGGTAGGGTATCTGTGCAGATCAAGTGAAAGTTTATGGTCATCATCACTACCAGAGAGTAGAGATGAATGAGAATGTCCTGGGAGAACTGAAGAAGCTATTTGATGCCAAATCCGAGCACCTCCATCAGACCCTGGCCCTTCATTCTTACACTTCTGTGCTCTCGAGGTTGCAAGTGGAGTCGTACATCTACACATTGCTTAATAGCTCAGCTGTTCTGAGATCTTTAGCAGTTTATCAGCAAGACCAAGGTACGTAAAGAGTGAGCTTCCTTCTTATTCTTAAATGTGAAAAAGAATTGACCGTATAACCTGAGTGAGTTGACTGGATACTAATTGGTTTCACATGGTATCATTGTGTTTTTTTTTTTTTTTTTTTTGCCCCTTCAACCATGGTGTTTACTGATGTTTCCTGAGTAGTATGAGGTCCCCCTTCCCCGTGGCTTTCATTTCTCTCCTTTGCTAAGTAGTGTTCCAATGGCATTTGATCCCAAAACTAATCATCAGGTTACCTTTTCTTTTTTTTTTAAATTATTACTATTTTTATTATTAGATTTATTTTATGTGTTTGAGAGTTCTGCCTACATATATATCTGTGCACCACATGCCTGGTGCTGCAGACATCAGAAGATGGAGTTGGATCCTTTGGAACTGGAGTTATGGATGGTTGTAAGCTGCCATGTGGGTGCTGGGAATCAAACCCTGGGTGGGTCCTCTGCAAGAACAAGTGCGCTATCCACTGAGCAAGCTGTCCATCCCCCAGAATACTTTCTTGATCATTCTCCTGTATCTCTCTTGTATTTTATTCTATTTTTGTTCACTTTCTTGAATTCTTAACTAATGCTCTATAATATTCTGAAATAGAAATTTTAATTTCTTTATGTTTTCATGGTAGTTACCTGCTCTCCCTTGAGCCATGTCCTCAGTCTTCTCATGCATGCTAAGTCAAGCACTCTGCCAACAGAGTCTGTCTTCAGACCATGTATCTGATGTGTTGGTAGCACTTTGTGGGGATTGTTTTGGGAGAGGGGAAGAGTTTATTCAGTTTACAGTACAAAGAGATACATCTTCCATCATGGCAGGGAAATCATGATGGCGGGATATAAGCAGCTGGCCCCCAGTGGCCCACTTCCTCTAATGAGGCTCAACTTCCTACAGGTTTCACAACCTTCCAAGAGCCACTACCAGCTGGCACCAAGTATTGATGTAAATTAGGGAACATTTCACATTCAAACCGCAATGTTTTGCCTTTAGCCCTGGCAAACTCAATTCAATTTGCACTCAGTTTAACTTCAAAAGTCCCCATAGTCTTTAACAGTCTTAGCATTGTTCAGATGCCCCGAATCAAAGCCTTGAAACCTATTAAATATAGTAAAAGAATAGCAGTGGTTGGTCTGGAAGAAAGCTGACATGTAACCCCCTTTGTAAGAATGCAGTTCATAAGGAGAACAGGCCTGGAGACCATTGTTGGCCTTCAGGTGGGAGGAAGTATTAGACAGACAGCATAATATATGGAGATCTAAACAAGATCAGGCCTTAAAAGAAAGGAGAGCCACCCCTTAAAGCCTAGAGAGGAGCTTCATTAGGAGAGAATAAAGCCAGGCATAGTGGTGCTTGCTTTTAATTCCAGCACCTGGGAGGCAAAGGCAGAGGCAGGCAGATCTCTGTGAGTTCTAGGACAGCCAGAGCTCCATAGTGAGACCCTGTCTATATAAAACCAAACCACAATAAGAGAATAAGAGAGACAGATGGGAGAAACAAGAGTGTGTGTGTATGCACATGAGAGAGAGAGCAAGAGAGAGAAGAAACGAGAGAGAATGTGTATGCATGTGAGAGTGAGATCGAAAGAGAGAGAGCAAGCCCAAGAGCATGAGCATGCCAGAATGAAAGGGATGGCAGGGAGGTCAGGGGAGTATGCTCAGATCATTTCCCTGTGCAAAATCTCAAGTCTTTAGAACAGTCCCAAGAACTAAAGAAAAATGTAATGTTTTGTAACATTTTAGACTGGTGGGAAGTTTCACATCAAATGGTTTAGTTCAGGATAGTATGACAAAGAGTGGGGAGAAGCCAGGGATCATAAATTGAAAGCTGTCAAATCATAGGACAGATGGCTTCTTAAGACTCTGTCCCAGACAGAGCTACAGGGAGGCATGGCCTAATTCAGGCTATAGCATCTAGCCTGAAGGTACAGAGCCTTGTCCTAACAAAACCAGCAGGGTAAGCATCAAATCCTGTTACTCCATGTGTGGGCATCCGGGGCTTGAAAGAATCATTTGTGTTCCAAAAACCCTGGGTAGCTCTCCTTGTCTAGCTCTACTACCTGCAGCATTCATAGTCTCTGTATTGGGCTGGTTCCATCTACTCCATGCCTGCCACTCTCCTGGGTGGTTGTCCCTTGGTTCTGTCATCTTCAGTATCCTGAGGGCTTCATTGAAACTTAGGCTTCATGTTTGCATGCCATTACTGGAAGGCCAGGAGCCATTATTTGATTGCCTTCCAGTACCTCCCTGCAGGGAATTTGACTTTGCCCGTATTGTCCAGCGTTATTGCAGCTTTCAGGATTCTTGGAGCAAGAAACCACGGCCCCCTTACTGTTCCACATGTCATTCCTGCAAAATTAAAACTGTGTGGACAGTGGTGCTGAGTTCTGCCAGCCTGAGATATAGTGTGACCCACTTCTCTCAAAACACTTGCCTAGGTGGTTGTTTACCAGGAAGGAACCCTTTCAGGGGCATTCTCAGGTTAGGCTCTCACCTTTTAAATGCATGCACATTTTTATAAGTTGGAGTGTTTGATGTTTAGGGCTTTGCCCTCACTGTGTCCTGTCATCTCAGTACAGAACACCAGGCTTCTCTTTCTCAGCACTGCCTTGTCTACAGCTAAACTCGCCCCTTTCCTGGATAACTCATACATTGTTCATGTCTTTCTGCCCCCTTGTTGCTCTCTTCCATGTAGACCTGCATAAGAAAAGTGAGCACTAGCCATGCTGTAACTTAAATACTGCCTGTCTTGAGATTTTTCTCCACCAAACAAATTAGTTTATAATTTTGGTTAGGATTGGCAAGATTCTTTGCCCAAGTATCACAGGAATGGCTTCTGTCCCAGTTCCCAATAGAGTCCTTGCTCAGCTCTGTGGTAATTTGAAATGGCACAATTAGGAGGTGTGGCTTTGTTGGAGTAGGAACGTTGTTGTTGGAGGACGTGTGTCACTCTGGGGGTATGTAGCACAAATAATAAAACCCAGAGACAGATATTGGGGTTAAAGCTGAAGATCAGAAAAGCAAAGTGGCCAGTCACTAACTCTTTACTCCACCTCTGACCAAAATGGAGGATCCTGTCTCCAGGAATCCTCAGAGTGCAATGTTCTCAGCTCCCATCTCCTGCTGCCTTATATGACTCTCACAGGTCAGCCATAACACTCCTGTCTCCACCAACCTAGTGCTAGGATTAAAGGCATGTGATCCCAAGTGTTGGGATCAAAGGTGTGAGTTCTATTTCTCTTTTAGACTGATTCACTCTGGTGTAGCCCAGGGTGGCCTTGAACTCACAGAGATCCATCTGCCTCTGTCTCCTGAGTCCTGGGATTAAATGTCTATACCACCACTGCCTGGCCTCTATGGCTAACTAGTGTGGCTGGCTACCTTTGCACTCTGATCTTCAGGCAAGCTTTATTTGTTAGATCATTAACAAAATAACACCACAGCGGTGAATCTTGAGTCTCCTATGCTCAAGCTACTCCCAGAGTTTCAGTCCACTTCCTGTTGTCTTCTGATCAAGATGTAGCCAGCAAGCACCATGTCTGCTTGCATGCTGCTATGCTCCTCACCATGATGATAATGAACTGAACCTCTGAACTGTAAGCCACTACCTCAATGAAATGTTTTCCTTTGTAAGAGTTGCTGGGTCGTGGTGTCTCTTCACAGCAATAGAAACTCTAACACAAGCTCTAAAACACCTCATGAGCCAGGCCCTCATTGTCTGTATCTAACTTAACACTATGATCTTCCAAACTTTCAGCAGAATGGCCCAACAGGTTCTGCTTTTTTATCCAGCAAATTAGTTCCAAAGGCATGAGGACCACATGCCATGCTTGGTACAGCAGCCCCACTCCTTGGGGCTGTCTCTTTGTATTACTGCTTTTCTGACAAGAGACAACTTAAGGCAGGAGCATGTGCTTTGCCTCAGAGTTTAATGGGATATCATCCAGCGAGGAGAAGAGGGCTCAGCAGCAGGAGCACCCTCAGTCAGGAAACAGACAGCCTCTGGGTTTTTATCTGAACTAAATGTTTTACACATTTTGGTTTCTTTGCTTTAAGTAGAGAAGCTAAAAGTCCCCAGTACCCTCAGGAGGGCTCATCCTAATCCTCTCTTCTTTATAGTTTCTAAACTGACAGAAAGCATCCCCTCTGATGTGTGTCAGCTGAAGGAGTGTATCAGTGTCTTGTTCATGTTCACCAGGAGAATGAGTGAAGATGCCCAGTTCCAGGAGGACATCCTTCTCTGGCTGCAGAAACTGGTAAGGGAACAGATGTAGGCATAGAAGTCTTTTATTGCTTGGGTAATTTAAGAATAAATTCTTATTTTGTATTTCATATTTTTTCTTCTACTATAGCTTTTCCAGACAATTCATTTAATGAATTAATGACTTTTCTTTGATGATGACACATGGTTACAAGGTGTTTGTCTTGTTACTTTGTGTCTCTAATGAACTCTGGCTTTCAGGTCAGAGTTGAACTCAGGAAATACAGAGGGAAATGAAGACAGGCTGCTGACTCACCAAGTTTGCTGCTGACTCACTCATGTTTGATGATGAACTTGGTCATACTTAACATGCGAAGAAAGGTGTCAGGATTTGGAATAAATTTAGGTGCATTACAGAGGGGACTTATGTCTGGGCAGTCTAGAAAGACTACGTGCACCCCCAGCTCCCTGTGTCCATGAGTTTACTAAACTAGTGAAACCATGAGTCCTTTGTTGTTCAGGTGTCAGTGTTACAAAGAGTTGGCTGTCCTGGAGATCACTTCTTCCTCCTCAACCACATTCTTCGGTGCCCGGCTGGCGTCAGTAAGTGGGCTGTTCCTTTCATACAGGTATGATATCTTCTGTTCTGGGGGTGGGCTAGGGATTTTATTAGTTTTTCCTTAAGAAAATGTTTAAAACAACCCATCCCCCAAAGATTTAGTCGAGTGCTAGTTAAATAAAAATATAAAAGACTTTAAATATTTCTATTACTTATATGCTATATGTGTCTGCATGGACTTACGTGCACCGTGTGAGAGAAGGCATTGACCTCCTGGAACTGGAGTTAAAAGTGGTTGTGAACTTCTGGATCTGGGTCCAGGGAACCAAACCCTCCCCTTGCTCTCTTGGGGAGCAGCCAGTGCTCTTAACCACTGAACCCTCTATCTGGCTCCCTATATAAAACCTCTAAAGGAGTACATGTGTATGCAGTTAGTGCCAGCACTTTCTGGGTCATTGCAGGTGAAGAAGTTAGGACAGAATTGCAAAAGTTCTGATGTAATCCAGCTGGGTAGGCTCACAAGTGTTTAATTTGGTAAGATTTTGGAGTAGGACTGTTTTTCTCTGCTGTAGTAATTGCCACACCTCTTTACATTAATCCTTCTCACAGTATAATTGGTACTGTGAAATAGAATCTGCTATAGTACAGAGGTCTTAGGCCTTTAGCTTAGCAGCTTGCAGACACTTACCAGTTGACCATATGGTGTATAGTTTCTCCTTTGCCCAACACCTTTTGGCCATTTTTATTATTCATAGCAACCACTCAGATAGCAGGAACCAAAATGTATGCCAAGTTCAACTCAACTCCTTCATATTTTCTTAACATTAGTATTTCTCATTTCGAAGAGGAGGATTTTTTTGTTTTTGTTTTGTTTATTTTTTTCTTAAAGCATCAGTGCTGGGTTCCATCACAGCTGCTGCAGATGTTTGACATCAGCTGTGCATCCTCTGCTCTTAGGTAGTGTGCAGGTAACTACCACAGCTGTGGCTTGTGCTTTGGAGCAGGAGTCAGGCTTAGCTTTGTCCTCTGACTAGCATCTTGCTTATTAGATACATGTAAACCAGCTTGAGCTGGTTTTCTACAGTATGCCTTTTTTCATTTTCTGATTTCAGATCAAAGTGTTGAATAACCCTTCAGGGGTCTTTCATTTTATGCAGTCCCTTGCCCTGCTGATGTCTCCTGTCAAGTAAGTGTGGAAGAGCTTTGTGAAGTAGAAACTGAAATACTGTACGAAAGAGTTGGTTTTCTTAACTGTCCACATCCAAAGAGAACTGCTAAGGGAAGTGTTGGCATTCTAGAATTTAATATTGCAGATTTTCTTTGGGTTTGATATCCCTGCCCCAAAGAGATACATCTGGTTGCTCATTAACTGTTTTGTTCTTTTTTTTTGTGGTCCCTCCCCTTTTAGTGGGTTTGTCACTCATTGTGTATGTCATTGTGAAAGGTGCCATAGGCTAAGAGATAGTATGTTCCTTAGAATAGAGGGGGATCTGGTGTAAGTGTTGAACTGTGAGCACTGCAGGAGTGTAGCCAGTGAAGAGTAGTCAGATGTGGGGCTGTGAGCACTGCAGGAGGAGTGTAGCCAGTGAAGAGTTGAGGAGTCAGAGACAGGTCCACAGTAGATGTGTCAGCTTTGAAGAGTGAGCTGCATTTCATTAGGTGAGGCCTGGGGAGAATACAGGCCTCTAATACAGGGTGTGCAGAGGACTGGGGTGTAGGTGGCCAAAATGATGATAATCAAGATGGGTGGGGCTAGAAGGGCTGGAGAGTAAAAGGCCTGGAAATTAAAGCTGAAGAGTCTATACTTGATGTGGCTTGGCCTGTGAACAAGTGAAAGGTTTTGAACAGGGAGCAAAAATTGTCCTTTAGGAAGATTAGGCCAGGTGTGGTGGGACACACCTGTTATCACAGCACTCCAGGGGTTGTGAGACTGTGTTTGGAGGGTCTTCAATTCAAGGTCAACTTGGGTTACACCAAGACTGTATTTCAAAAAAAAGTGTGCAGGGAGGAGGGGGGCTGTTTTGTCTCTACAGTGGATTGGAGGCAGAAGAGTATATACTTTTTCATTGCTTCATTGATGGCTACAGACATTTATGCCTCTCCTGGCTCAGGATCCCAACCAATCACACAGCAAAAAAGCAGGCATATTTTTGACCCAGGGAAAATGCAGATCCTGTTTGTTGGTGACCCTGAATACTGTTACTACCAGCTAACCTGCCTCTGGGCCTGTATTGACTAGGGTCATGATAGTAGATAGAGTATGGGAACTTAGACGACTTCTTCCTGGGAAATGACTTATAGCTGATTAAAGAATGCAGAGAAGCAACGTATCACTCCTAGCTCTAGACCTATGTGAGCCTAGAGACCAGGAGGGTATTGATAGCACTAACAGAAGTACAGAAAGGAGGGTGTTTTATACAGCAGAAAAATTAAGGTTCCTGACAATATGCAAGTGGCACATACTGATGGACACCTGGGGCTCAGGATTGGCATTTTTCCCTGTTGTAAGGGAAACATCTGAACTCAGAACTGGAGTTTGTAGGAGGTTTCTGGCTAAAGAGAGGAGTGGGTGGGTATGTTTTCAGTGAGGACCCCAAGCTAGGTTGTGGTCCAGGAGGAATCTGTTGTGGTTACAATGCTCATCAGATGGAACGACTGCTTGGAAGATCCTGTTGCTTGTTTTTCTGGCCTCCATCCTTTACTGCTTGCATATAGAGACTGCTCTTGAGCAGGGAGATACTGTTTGACTAGGGTGTTTTTTGCCTTTATGTATACCTTTTGGCCTGAAATAAGCCTCTGTGTCAATTGCATAATACCCCTTTTGTCTTTGATAAGACACATCTTTAAAAAGATTTATGTTTATTTTTAATCGTGGGTACTTGTATGAGTCTGTGTGAGGATGTATATATGTGAGTGTAGGTGCCTATGGAGGCCAAAAGAGGGCTCTCTGGATCCATGGAGTTGGAGTTACAGACCATTGTGAGCTGCCTGACATGAGTGCTGGGAACTGAACCTGAGGCATGTGCAAGTGCTCTTAGCCACCAACCCATTTCTCCAGCCTTTACTTACTTTTTTTTTTTTTTGAAACAAGGTCTCACTATGTAGACCAGACCTAGAACTTGTTATCATCTGTCCTAGGCTGGCATGCAGCTAGTTATCTAGCCTAGGCTGACCTTGAACTCAGAGAGATCTGCCTGCCTCTGCCACTGAGTACTGAGATTTAAAACTAAGCACTGTTATTCCTGGCCTGAGTTCTTACTTTGTCTTTGAGTCTTTAAACCATTTGACAGCTTGGCTGATTCCTGACTCTTCTTTAGGACAGATGACCCAAACCTGTGCTCATGTCAGGCTTTCTCTGTTCACATGGGCAGATTCATGTCTGTTGTCTTTTAGAAATCGAGCGGAGTATATGTGTCACATGAAGCCCAGTGAGTGGAAGCCATCATCTTCAGGGCCTGCATCTGGCAACTGGACACTTGTAGATGAAGGAGGAGAAGAGGTAACTGTCTTCAGTGTTCCCTTTAGTCAGTTTTGAGCTCTTCTTACAGGCAGAGCATTGCTTTGAGCACTGTCTCATAAATCTTGATTCTTCCAGTAACCCTATGAGGTAAGTACTTCTCATTTACAGAGAAGTTGTCCCTCATTTACAGAGGGACAACTGATGTGTAAACTGGAGGTAACTCGTCTCAGGTCATGTGGTTGTTAAATGCAGAACCTCTAGAGCAAGTTCCCTGAGCTAGTAGCCTATCCTGACATCCTTCTGTAGATGTGTTCAGATGGCAGAAGCTGTAACTGGAAAATGCAGTAGAGTGATACTTTGTGAAATTATGTTAAGGTGTTTTTTTTTTTTTTTCCTGAGACAGGGTTTCTCTGTGTAGCTTTGGAGCCTATCCTGGAACTCGCTC